CTGGGATTTCTCAACTATTCATTCGCGAGAGAGTCGTAAAAGAGAGGGGAGCGATGGCGGTCTGCGTCCTCGAAGGGTGCCGGAAAAGCCTCGAACCTCGTGAATCATGGTGGCCACGCGAAAACACCATAAAAATAATACGGCTATGTCACGATAGCCCAGCCATGACTCATCCCGCTACACGGATCTTACTTCTGGACGCTAGTTCGATAAAAGCCACGGGGTTTCCTCGTGGAAACGTCGACAGGGTGCCGCTATGGACGGGGTGTGTCCGTGCCCTGCGTCTTACAGCATCCAACCCCATGCCCCAACGATCGAATACCGACGGATATCCCCTTTTACGTGCTTTCTCTTTTACGCCAAACACGTATATACTCGAATCGATACGTTGAACGCGTTATTTACCTATCGCGAAATAACACGGAATCGTGTTAGACTTTTCGCGCTTCGAAATCAAGCATTTAATAGACGACAATCTAATAGCGATATCTCTCACAGAGAAGCGGTACCGAGCGCACGATTGAATGAACGACTAGTCCATCGACGTTGTAAACTATCGGGTATCGAGTTGAATTTTCCGAATCGATACGCAAACAATGCTGTCCGGTCGAAAGATACAAGAACGATAATCCATAAATATTAATGGGCGGGAAACGAGCCGCGTGTTCGTACCGTATCGCCGCATTCAGATTAATATCGATCGCTTTCGATTCTCGTTAGTCATCGCTGCACACTCGGGACCGTGACACGTATGTACGTTTCAGTGAGTCACTTAATAGCTGGAACTCTTTGCTATTAGATCGATTCGACGTAAAGTAAGGGTGGCTAACTCATCCTTTGAAATGTCTTGGAAAATTATCGAAAGGATCTACGAGGTCTCTATCGACCATCTTCTCGTCTTGTTCTCGACGACTTCGGAGTCTGCGGTGGTTCGACCGGAAGCGTCGTGTTGGTGGCCCGCATAAGCACGATTTATCTCGCGAGAAATCGAGGATGCGCCTCCTTACCAATCTATTCGTTGAGCAACCGTCGTTACGATTAATTAAAAAAATATTCGACAACGATGTTATGACAGACGTTGGACAAGGGACGGGATTTATCATGAGCAGCGTTTTTAAACGACCGGACATATCCTGTCCGCTAGAGCGGAGGCACGATTTTCACGATTAATAACTTTATTCGAATTAATTGAAGCACGGTATGGCCACTAGACTCCCCTCTAAGGTTTAACGACCACCTACCGGTTCATCCGCCATAAATTTCGCGGCAATTCACGTCCAACAATTACGTCTACTGCTAGAATTCTATTATTTATGTTCCGCGAGGGCTGAAGCTGACGGTACTTTATCCGTTCGAGGGATACTACGGATATCGATCTGCCTTTTCTCGAACCGCGTTCGTTCGCTCCGAATTCGAGATGCACCGTACACGCCGCGGGGAAAGGAGATACGGTCGGTATAATGTGGCTCGCATACATGGACGCGTTCGCCACCGATGCGATGGATTCGACGCTCGGTCAGCGAGGGGCTGCTTTAATGGCAGCTGCGACAAACGCTTCGAACATTCCAGGATATTGGCTGTGTGCTCTGTTATTGGATGACCTTTTGTTTTCCCGGATTCGACTCTGTTGTGTACCCTTCAATTTCCACAAAAGTATACGGTCTTCGTCGTCGAAGCCAAAGATCCGTTCCGTTTCGAGTTTGCCTAATTTTCTGAAACCTATAATAAGAACCTGAACAGCCTTGATCGAGGAAAACGCGAGATCGAGAATTCGAATCGCTTAACTTGTACAAATACGAGTTAATCGAAAGTCCCGAAGTCGATTTTTTCCAGGATGACCTTACACCGTCCATTCGAATGTTTATCCACCGGTGCACTGATCGGATAAGAAGCACGTGACTCTTTTAGGACAGACCGTCGCTAATTGAATCGCGCCCTTTCCAGCGAATCGAGTCGAATCGAATCGAATTACCAGTCGTCGCGTCGCCTGGCGTCTATTAGCACCGTATGAAAGGCGATTTTGCCATCGGCGAGACTCGAAACACGGAAGAGGAAAAGGAGTGGCCGACAAAAACGATGGAATTGTTTAGTTTAAAGGGGCAAAAGCGGGGCTCGACGAAGAATAAATACAGAACGGCTAGTAAAAGTTTCAAGTGGCTAACAGAGTGCTTCAATGTACCAGCCACCGTGTTCGACTCTACCTAACCAAGTGGATATACTTCGACGAGATTTTCGTCGACGAATAAACGCGGTCATGCTAGAAACAACATTCGCGCGACTCCGAACAAGGGAAACAGGATCCACGACAGATTTTACGCTTTATTTCATCCTTTTACACGGTTTTATTCTCGTCTCCCGCCATTAGATGTTACTTCGCAATCAGCTACGCAACCGATAAAGCGTTTCGTTACAATTTTTATCGCGACTCACTAGATCTCTTTTCGTTGCTTCGACAACGGAATAACTCGCGGCAACGCAACGCACGACGGTGTTTTCGCGTTTCGATTCGCGCTGACGATTCCAGATTCGTGCATTCACGTGGGTGCACGCGGTCGGTCATTCCAGGATATTGGCTGTGTGCTCTGTTATTGGATGACCTTTTGTTTTCCCGGATTCGACTCTGTTGTGTACCCTTCAATTTCCACAAAAGTATACGGTCTTCGTCGTCGAAGCCAAAGATCCGTTCCGTTTCGAGTTTGCCTAATTTTCTGAAACCTATAATAAGAACCTGAACAGCCTTGATCGAGGAAAACGCGAGATCGAGAATTCGAATCGCTTAACTTGTACAAATACGAGTTAATCGAAAGTCCCGAAGTCGATTTTTTCCAGGATGACCTTACACCGTCCATTCGAATGTTTATCCACCGGTGCACTGATCGGATAAGAAGCACGTGACTCTTTTAGGACAGACCGTCGCTAATTGAATCGCGCCCTTTCCAGCGAATCGAGTCGAATCGAATCGAATTACCAGTCGTCGCGTCGCCTGGCGTCTATTAGCACCGTATGAAAGGCGATTTTGCCATCGGCGAGACTCGAAACACGGAAGAGGAAAAGGAGTGGCCGACAAAAACGATGGAATTGTTTAGTTTAAAGGGGCAAAAGCGGGGCTCGACGAAGAATAAATACAGAACGGCTAGTAAAAGTTTCAAGTGGCTAACAGAGTGCTTCAATGTACCAGCCACCGTGTTCGACTCTACCTAACCAAGTGGATATACTTCGACGAGATTTTCGTCGACGAATAAACGCGGTCATGCTAGAAACAACATTCGCGCGACTCCGAACAAGGGAAACAGGATCCACGACAGATTTTACGCTTTATTTCATCCTTTTACACGGTTTTATTCTCGTCTCCCGCCATTAGATGTTACTTCGCAATCAGCTACGCAACCGATAAAGCGTTTCGTTACAATTTTTATCGCGACTCACTAGATCTCTTTTCGTTGCTTCGACAACGGAATAACTCGCGGCAACGCAACGCACGACGGTGTTTTCGCGTTTCGATTCGCGCTGACGATTCCAGATTCGTGCATTCACGTGGGTGCACGCGGTCGGTGAAAAAGAGGGTGTCGGTATCCGACGAGGGATACCGAAAATAGATATTCGCCGCGAACCGTGCGGCGACATTAGAAACACCGTGCGTATATAATGCTTCTCTCTACCGAGCCTTCGATAGACAACGTGGACCCCTCTCGCTCTTTCCGACACGAGTCGCTTACCAAAAAAGTAACGGGAACAAAAATATACATCGACGTTCGAAAACTCTCTCGTTCGCATCGATCTTCTCGTAAGTTACTTTAAACGATCCTCCTTTAATCCGCTATTAAAAGCGATGCATGTTTTGCCGCAACGTTCACGGTGAAATCTGTTGCCATATGCTCGTTGCGAGTCTCGTACAAAAAAAAATCGAAAGAAAAAAAATGAAAATGCAGGGAGCGTCTTATTGCGGCAAAGATTTTGTTTCATCATACGAAGGTTAAGTTTAGCTAGGTTTTTTCTTCGAACAACTCGATACGAAGAATCGAAAGACGAAGAAAAATTAATAGGAAGAAACGAGTCGCGGTGGCGATCCATCAAATCCTACACAGCGATTGAAAGGACGAGTTTGTACTTTTAGGACGCATTGTTGACCCTCGTTGGAACTGGGCGGCTCCACCCTCGAGCGTTTCTAGCCCCCCTACACTTCGCGTAATCGTCTGTGCGATGATACGCCAGAAACTCACCCTGCGTTTATTCCACCGAAGCAAACTCGGTTTTGGCTCCCCTTCCAGCCCCAAGTCAACGACAGACCGAGAGCGAGAGAGATAAATAGCGAACGGATCGGCCAGAAACACGCGGCGAAGCGTAACGCCTGCGTTTCCTACCATCCTTCCACGTGCGTGTATCTTAAACCGTGTCCGTGTTAGCAGCGTTCGCGCGTTACGTCGATACTCTCTGTCGAATTTTCGGGAAGGCAATTTGAAAAATTTAGCGAGCTGTCTCCTGAATTTCGAGTCGTTATCCCGCAGGCAAAAGTTCGACGGTCTCGATTTATCGATCTCGAATTTCTAAGAACAATAAACAACGGAATCACATAAAATCTGCATAAAACGAGGGCCATTGGAATTTCCAATCTCGCGTTGTAGAAAATTAAGTGGAATTTTTCAAGTCTATTAAAGGGAAAGCATGTCGGTGCAGAAGCGAATAGAGCACTCGGCAGCGTAGTTACCTACCTGTGTACACAGCCGGTGAAAAGAGGGACGCAGAAAGGGCGAGGGTGGAATACGAAACAAACGAGCTTCCAGTTGGCAGAAACTCTGGACTTTGCATAGATTTTGCTCGCGTCATTAGCACGAATGCATACGAGTGCATCTTCGCGCGGATGCGTTAAGACGCGCGTGCATCGGGAGTCCAGCGCGAGTGGTTGGTCGTTAAGCGAATGCGAGCGCGTGTGCGTGTTCCCGGGGCCGAGTTAAACGGACGTGTGCCTGTGCACGAGGAGGGTGCACTAGGTGGGGGCAAGTACACGCGTGTCTTCGGTTTTGGTTTTAGTTCCGTGGCAGTCGCTGCCGACGACGACGACGATCTTCTCGAACGCGTTGCTCGACGGTTTCGTCGCACCCCGATCGCGAGTTTTTTTTCTCTTCTTTCGACGATCTTCGCGTTCCCGAAGATTCCGGTAGCTCGCGAGCGATCGTGCGCGCGCGGCCGCGTCAATTCGACGTCGTTCGAACTCCAAGACCAAGTGCGTCCATCGAGATCGTTGAAATTCCAAGCGAGACATCGTTAGATTACGAACCAGAGATTCGTTCGAAAAGCGCAGCTGATTCGAGCCGGGAAATGGAAGAATAACTCGACGACAAAATCAAATCATCGGGAACATCGAAGTCGAAGTCGCTGGCGGAAAAGGAAATTCTGACAAAGCGAAAGGAATTCGAAGGAGAAAAACAACGGACACTCTTGAGTAGAGTGAAAGAGAGGTCCGGAGTGCCGCTTCGATGCGAAAAAAACGTCGGCACGTTTTGTTAATCAAAAGATTTTGCTCGAGGCGACGTGGTTTGACTGAAAAAGAACGCGTATGACCGCGGCGTCTAACGACGATCAAAAAAATGAAAAAGGAACAGGAGTAAAACGTATGCAGGAGTCGAAAGGAAGTCCATAGAAAAGATATCCTGCGTGTCGAATCGCGGTACCAGAGTGTATTTTGCGCCGACCTTTCTTTCTCGGAAAGCGCGACGCTATCTCCGTTGAAAACTGCTATATTTGTGTGAATCCGTAAGCCTAGTAAATTGTTTAGCCCGAAAGCGTTACGAATTTATGCAAAATACCAATTTTGTTTCTAATGCTCGGTATTAAAGTAAATTCAGCTCTGAGCTGGAAAAATAAGAGCTTGCCTTGAATGGTAACGTCGCCTTTTTGGCCCTCGAAGGATCAGGAGAAAGTAACAGTTTCTATAGCATCGATGCAATAGAATTTACTCGAAACGTAGGTTATTGATCGATCGTAGAAGCTTGAAAGTTCGTTTCGAGCTGTACTTTATTTAAGCCGGAAGTTTGATAGCCGCGAAGGAACCGCAATTTGATCGAGGATGCGTTCCGGACTATTCGTTGGTGGTCAACGCTCGAAGAATCGAACAGCGAGGTCGAAGAATGACGACATAAAATATTGTTCCGAGGATCGCGGTTGTTCGATCCTGTGGTAGAAAAGGCAAATTGGCTAGATCGTGAACGATCGAATGCATCGATCGTAAGGTGTCGAGCAGACGTGGCGGTGGTTCGCGCGTCGACTCGAACACCTGATTCGCGCCTGCCGGTTCGAGATGCGGTGCACGTCGGGACACGTGTTTCTGACAAGTTTGCTGATACTACTTCAAGCACGTCGACCGGAAGCAGCTACCGAGGATTCGGCTGAATTTCAGAACAAAGGTACGCCGCTTCTCGATAACATTGAATTTGCTCGATGAAACGAGGACGTTCTTAAATTCGGTATCTTTTTTTAACGCCCTCAGCGTGGTGGTCGCAGCTTCGTTTCCGTCTTCGTCTCGGAGATGCAACTAATGTTTTTTATAGCACGTTGCATTCTGGCGGATCACTTGCAACTAATTAAGTAATTTAATAAGGTAACGAAGACGTTGATAAACTTGATAAGACAATTATCGAATGACGGGGCGTTAGGTATCGTAGAATAAAATTTTGATAGATATCGCCGAAAGTATGGGAATAATATAGCAGAAAATTTTCCGTTAGGTAATTAACGCAAGAAGTTTGTTCGGAGTAGGCGTTGCTCGTTCTATACTCTAAACAGTGACCCATTATGAGAAAGTGGTGCCACGAAGCAGTGGGAAATTTATTTCGGACCGAACGAGCTCACTGACCTCGACCCGATTTAAATAAGTTAAAAGTTTAGTGGCACGAGTGGATAAACGGTATCCGGAAGCGTTCGAACGTATATAAACTAGAAGTAAACATTTTGAGTTAAAAGGAAAGCACATGCAATTAATGAAAATTTCAAATAACGTTAATACGAATTGTGCAAGCTGACAAATGGAAAGTTCAAATTGAAAAGCGAAAACGATCCTATTGTTCGTATTTACTTACTGCACGCGGAAAGATGTGACAACGTAGAACAGGACCTATCACGCGTCGACGAATTTAAATGAAAAGACCGAGGAGGTTACTTGAAAACGTGTCTTTATTTACGTGATCTAACAGTTTTTATTAAGGTGTCCACGAGATAGCCATGCGTCCGATGGAAAGATACAAAGCTGCGCGGTGAATTTACCGACGAGTATTTTGGTCCACGGGCTGCTTACGAAGCGAAAGAATTTGCACGATTTATTTTCGGCAACGTAAAAAGGCGCCGCTTCATTTTGATCCCTCTAGGCATCTGTCACGGTCAACTCCCCGTAGCGCGGTTAATTTTCGAAATTTATGAAAACACATAGAAGCACACTAGGATCTTTTCCATTTAATCCTCGAACCCGGAAACTTCAGTCCCACCGGAGTAGCGATTTATTTTGTTTAATTCATTGATTGCAACGGTACGGCACGCTTTCACGATAATTATTTACGCTTTGATTACACGTCATAATTTTGCCATCGCGTACCGATAAAGACAAATCTCTATATGTATAAGCAGTTTTTTCCTTTCTTAAATACCTTAAATCTATCTTGAGCCTATTTCCATCTTTTTCAATATACATTAATTAATTCTTAAAGTTAAGAGACAGTTGAAGAAGAAAAATAGATAACGTGGTTTTCATTTTGTGCAACGTCGACGGAAAATATGTGCGTTAAGGGGTTAAGGTACCCCTTTGAAAAGAGTGCAGGAATGCGTCGAGCGTCGTTTATAGCTTTGAAGCGTGCGAACGCTCGAAACAGAGCGCTCGAAGTTCGAAGGAATTCGAGGAGAACCATTCGACGTGTTTCGAATTCCGTTCGGAAACGTATTACATACACGTACACGTATTATCGTTATTTCGGATAATAAGATGCTCGATGATTTCTTTATTCGAAGGAAAATATTTGGGGATGTAAAGGTAAATAGAATGTTGGCTTCGTCGACGATCCATCATCGCTCCTGTAGGTGATCTTTACATTGTTTGTTTTGCGGTAAACGTCGACTGAAACGAGCTACCCTGAAAGCTGCACTTTCCGCGAAACGAAAGCACATAAAGCGGCAGCGGCACTTTCTCTTGCTTCAAACATCTTAGCGACGTTTTTTCCTCGCTAATTGCGCTACAAATTTTCGCGCGAACAAAACTCAAAGTACTGGAATCGTAGCTGCCACCGTTCGAGCGATCAGATCAAAGAGTTTCCTGGAACGTAGCGGAACAATCGGTTGAGAAAACTAAAATATGTACATATATGCATCAGAGCGAGATCGAAGAAGCTTTTATATTTCTTTGCTTTCGTTTCGATCGGTTTTCACTCGCTACTTCGAATCCCATCGAACGAAATTTCGTGGCTCCAGAATTTCCTCGATACTTTTAACAATAAGAATCGTAAATATTCTTATTCGCGTCGCATATTAGGATGGCGCAAGAAATGGCCATTTAAAGCGAACGAAGTTTGAATAACGAAATGGACGAGCCACATGGGGCTCAATTACCATAGAGAGTGATCATACGAGAAGACCTTTGTCTCTCCGACAATCCCTGAACGAGGGTAAGGGCGCAAGAGCGCTTCAAGAGATAGCATCTGATAATTTCTTGAGAATTCTCGGAGTAATTTAATCCCTAGAGAAATTCCAATCATTTTGACGTATGCATTTCGAGCAAAATAGTTCTCGAAACTCTAGCAAAACTTCAAATAAACGTTTATCCTTTACAATTAACGTCGCATTCCGTGCAATTCAAATTAAAATATGACTACTTCTTATTTAAAAAATAACTGGTAGTAAGATGGCATTAACAAGCATTATTATTTTACCGCTATAATCAATTATAGTCTCGTGAATTCTATACTCGACTAATGAAATTCGACGCTATTTGTAACCTATTATTAATGAAAGGTGCCGCCGGAGCTAGAATCGGTCGGGCCGACAGGGGGAGGATTCGTTTGAAAAAATTACATACCCTGGATGAAATATGGAACATTTCGGTTTCGGCATTGCAAGGTAAACCCGAGCATCAGTTCTGCGAAATTATTTTAAAGTGGCTATTAACGCGATAAATTAGTCTATTCGAACTAAAAAACAAATATTCAAATATTCGCTTGTTATTTTGTTCGATAAAGCAATCGATTTTTGTGGCGATGCCGAGTTTTAAATTATCCTTCGTATCGTTCCAAAAAGTGACTGTATTTTTTTTTCCAACTCCGATACGTACTCGACGAGAAGCCGGATTCTCCGTCATACTTTTCAATGTCGAAAGTTGGAGAATAAAATCTATCGTTCGTATTTCACGCGAATAATCGAAAAAAACCTCGTCTCGAATTGCACGATTTTGGGCGTACGATCGATTTTAACGTCGGCCTTGGATTTTCGATAAGCCCCCGGAACAGCGGAAACGCCGCTTCGAAAGGAGCGGGAACAACCGTCGAATCGGGAGCATCGGTGGTGACAGTTGGAATTTTATTGGAAAACCGAACTTCTTCTGGGGAAGGATAGCAACAGGTGTTGGTAAGGAAAAGTAGCATTACGCGAGAATGAAATTGACTAAAGCGTGACTGGACAAGAGTGGCTAGATTAGAAGGAGATAAAACGCACTGTCGACACGAGTTTGATAAAACGTAATATCGTGGAATTCACGGGAACGATCGAGCAACGGACTTAAAAGTTCCACCTATGAATTATTTTCTTTTAACGAAAAACTTTAGGTTCTCACCTTCGTTTCGTACGACAATTAAAGCGAATGAAATTTTTCTCTTTTTCAAATTGTCCTTAATATTTAAACGGTGTTAAATTTTCGCAAAATTCGTCTTCGCCTATCTTCTTCGTACGCGTTCGATGTAACTAGGATCGAAACCGAGCGACGGAATGCAATAGACAAGACTCGAATACAATGGCCAGGAAATTACGCGTCTATAGATCGAGGGTCTGGTATAGACAGTAGGCGCCAATAAAAATTTGCAAATTAATGCGATATCGCTTAGAATGCGTGCACGGAGCCGTAAAGCCTCTCGAAACAACTTCGCTCGCGACTCGTATTTCTACGTTATTCCGGTCGTCATACATCGTGGCTCGTAAATTGCTTTAACGGGCATTTTTCGATGGCCGCGAATTCGATTCGCGAAAGATGGATGCTGAATCGGTCGAAAGGAGAGGATAAAGAAAGGAATCGTGTCGGGGGTACGAAAATAGATGACTCGGCGGAAGCGCGGTTTCCCAACGCGAGAGATATAAAAATAACAGAGGTGCCCCTTGGCCAACGAATATTATTTACATAACGATACGCCTCGAAAGTATGAATTTGTCCTTTCTTGAAATCGAAATTCTGCTCCGAAACGTAATTAATATTCAGTCTCACGGTTATTTGTTGGTGAAACAGAAGCACCATGTAAAAACGAGCAGTTACCAATTAGCAATTTCAAGCGAAAGGGGATTATCGGTTATCAATGATCAGCGATGAATTACCGAGTAGCGGTTACAAATTCTAAATTATCAATGACGAGCGATGAATTACTAGTTACCAGTTATCGATTGTCAATTATTAATTGTTAATGCCGATATCGGTATTACCGCTATCGAATCTACTGCCGTTGTTATTCGCCCAAATATCGTGCGATAAAGTTCGAAACCGCAGCTGGGGTTGCATCGCGCCAATATCCAGTTAGAGGGGTTAACCCAAAATTGGTCACGCCTATTCGACGATCAACGCCAATCTAGATGACTGAACATAGAATTTTCCGCGTTTCGAACGATTTTGAAAAGTTTACGATGCCGAAAGGTTGTAGGAAATTACGCAACGTTCACGCGCGTTTCTACTTGGCTCGAGAGAGTAAAACAATGGCACACGGACGTCGCGTAACACGGTGCGACGAACTAACCACGATTGGTACGGCTGTCAGCGACGCGTTACTCCGGTCGAACACGAAAAAGCCATACACGAAAGGATTCGAGTTTTTCGATCGCCATGGATCATCGATCCTTTTATCGGTTTTCGAACGCCCGCTTCGAAATCTTGGCTTCGACGCGACCCCCGATGAGAACGATGCATCATCGTATATTCATTCGCGGTGACTCAAACTTAGAATCGTTGCGATGCCGCAAACTTTCTTACCCACAGAGAAAATAGAAACGATATAATGTTAGCTGCACACGTGCCTGAGAAGCGGTGTTAACGTACACCGTGGTATGCCATTGATAACTCGCTCGTTCTTCTTGGCAGCCGCCTCTTAAGCCACGCTCGATCAAAAATAAACGGGACTTTTTCTACAATGGCAAAGATACACGAAACCGCGATAACGTGGATAGATACGTCTTCTCGCGATTTAACGCCAGGATACGTAAATCGATTGGTTAACGAGCGATTGAACGTTCGAGAAAAACTGGCGGAATATCTCGAGTCTCGGCGAAAAACGAAAAACGAATTCAATAACCGAATATATTCTTTTCTGGACATTCTTTCGAAGGGTCTACGACTTACGCTCTTACAGCGCCGCTGAGACTGGTGTGGGCCAGAGAGGGCGAGGACGTCGAATTGCCATGCGACATCACTCCACCAACCCCAACGGATTCCGTCAACATGGTACTATGGTTCAAAGATTCTGCTGGGATACCGCTTTACAGGTATGCATAAACGTCGTAAAATTCGGAGAAAAGAATCCAAGAAATTCGATGCGAGCGACGTGTTGTCATATAAAGAACGCGACTAATTTTCGAGTACAGGATCGGTAATGTCTACACGGTAAATATAGATAGAGTTAGGAATTCGTGATATAACGATAAATATTTCATAATAACGATCATGGTCATTTCCTTTTTCTTTCCGATAAAATCGTATTCCGATTATACATTTTGACCGCGCGAACTGCGCGTTCGCGAATTCCGGTTTTTTTTCGCGAGCATCTGGCAAACACGATTTTTTGATTTTTCGTGAGCTGGCAGGAAAAGGCGAGAACGAAGTCGAGTGCGAGGTTTCAAAGGCCGCACAGTTGGTTTATCTTGTTTTCGTTGGTCGATTTTACCGAGACTTTTATCCTCGGCAGAGTGAACGTTCTTTTTTTCGTGTCCATATTACGCACTGAACGCTCTGTTTACGGCGATCTTCTCGAGTATCAGTTCATAGCGAGGAACGTCGCTGCTTCGACCTGCCGGATGTTGGCCACGCTTAATATTTCTGGATGCCATTGTTCTGAGATCGCGTCTCGAAATATCGCGAACCGAGTCTCCGAAATAGAGACCCTCTCACCTTCCAATCTATTGTTCGCTACAAAACGCTTTGAGGTCGTTGCCGAAAGTAAGTTTTATCGGGCATCCTCGATTCCTCGTTATCGTCTGCTAACGCATCGGAATCATCGATCGAGCGGCATGTTCCGCTAAAAATGGCTCGATCTCCTTTTTCACGGAGGTCACGAAAGGCGGAATTGAGGTAGATCGTGTAACGTAAATAAACGGATAACGAAAGGATCGTGCGGAGTCGTTGGCATCGAACGTCAGAAATTCTTAATACCAGAAATAGAGGCTACCTATCGACGTTTCGTGCTGACAAACACTCGTAAACCGTGTATAGGTTTCGAGCTCGTTTATTTACGAACGGGAGCAAGTTTGCCCGTAAAACCAGATATTTCGTTCCAGCGTGTCGTTAGTCGCGACACGTCGTTTAATAGGATAGAAATTTTACTTGGAAGAGAATAGAATACTACGGAGGGGGAAAAATGAGAAGTTTTTTAGGACTTGGCCTGGTTCGCGTCAAAGGGTGCTCAAAAGAAAATAATAGCGTAGAATGGAGGAAACGAATGACACGCGAGACGAACACGAAACAGGTGGCTTCTGAAAGTTTACGTTTACGGGTTTGTTTATTCGTACCAGTGACGATCCCTTCGCTAGCTCGTATTTTCCATGGGAATCCGAGGGACAGAACAGTTGCATCAACATCGAATCCAATAATTTTTGGTAAATGTCTTTCCTTTTTTACGCTCGTTCTCGGTATTAGCCGTTTCAGATATACTTTTCGCGTGCAAAGTGCGACTGGCGCCGCGATTTCACGGAAATCGACCGCGAACGGCTGCATCTTTTTCCGTCGTCTTGCTGCGATTTCCTGTTGGACGTTGCGTAACGGTCAAACGTTCGCGTTCGCGGCGAATCTAAATTCGCTGACTGCACGCCTGCCAACTATCCGTTTTTCTCTCCGTGAATAGACACTCGTGCTAGAGTTAGTCGTTGAAACCGACCAACTGGGGATCCACCGGTGTTTACCAGCATCTTTTTTCCCCCGGAAACGTCAACGTCGCTTCTCCGATAGCCGATCGGGCCAAGAATTTCAACCTCCGTACGAATCGACACAGGAAATGTAACCCGGTTACCTCGATTCTCCGATCTTGAGTTCCTCTTCGAAAGAATCTGTGCCCGCTATGATCCTTTAAATTCGTAAAATAAATTTCGCGATCATAATGTTGCTCATCTCGAATACTTAATTTGATACTCGCTAAACGAAAAAATTCGACACTATTTGATAATCCTTCCGAAGGTATAGCGATAAACCGATAGTTTACGTGCACAGTTTGGACGCCAGGAACGGAGACCTAACGTCGGCCATTCATTGGGCGGTCAGCGACGATCTCGGCAAAAGGACTTACTTCCAGATCGGTGATGGGCATCGAGCTAAACTGAAGGTTGCCAAAGTTACCTTCAAGGATCAAGGAATCTTCAGGTGCAGAGTAGATTTCATCAACTCGCCGACCAGGAATTTCCGCGTAAATCTCACGCTCGTCGGTGAGTGTCCGATAACGTAACCTGGAAGTTCGATTTAATCGATTCGAAATGTTTTCTTCGTTTTTGCGTAGAGGAGCCGTCAAAACCTGTGATATACGACGCTCAGGGACGAAAAGTAACAGGAGTGGGCGGACCTTTTTTGGAAGGCTACAGTCTCGGTTTGACGTGTCAGGTGGCTGGAGGTAAATTTCCTGTCCCCCTTACGAACGACGTCAACGACCTATTCTTGTCAGCGTCACGATTTGCCATATTTCTTTTAATATCGTGATCGTTCATCCCAGGACGACCAAAACCCGTGGTTACGTGGTGGAAGGACGGCAAGATACTGGACAGTGTCGTCGACAAATCCATCGATACACCCAGCAAATTCACGGTGAACCACCTGTCCATCGACAAAGTGACGCGTTCGTTATGGGGCACCAAGCTGGAGTGCAGAGCTCAATCATCGCCGATGGCGGCACCGATCGTTCGCGAAGTATCCTTAGAGATTTATCGTAAGTAGCGTGTTACTGGGTCGGTGAAATGCGCGAAAGAAACGTGTCGCGAGCCACGGTAATCGCGAGCGTAACATCTGGCGCGAATAAAATAGAACGAAGAGTCGCGCGCTCTTCAAGGTCGCTTCTTTGAATCCGACCAATCTGTATACGCGTTAAAAGCGATCGCGAATCACTCGAGGGCAAAACGTGCACCACCGAGATATATATTCGGCCATTTCTCGAGGATCTGCGCGTTTAGCAAAAAAATGTGTTTAGAAGGACGAGTGTCCCTTAAGCAGGTTCGTCGCGGCAAAAATAACGAGTAGAGGGACAGCCACGTGCTCACCATCCGAACCGTGTGTATTTTTACTTTCAACGACAATTCCACGAAATACGACCGTCAAAGGAGTTAAGGAGGTCCGCGCGAAATCGTTGGAATTCATCTCGCTTCCGCCGCGGGTCACTCGCTCAGACTATATTTAAATTTCTTTCTTCTCCGTCGTCCTCGTCTAAGCCGCAGGACATTCGGATGAATAAAAACGATATTTCTTACCGCGCAGGATGTCCGTTGTGGCACAGGAATACAGTAATAGAGAATATCTTTTCGACGACGATAGTTTTCCTCCGAAAGAGTAGAGAAATTTTATTTCGTTTAAAAAATTTCTGAAAAGAAACTGAACAATCGTGGAGCTCCGATCGAGCTGAACGCACCGATCGGTGGATAAGTAACAAGTTAAAAAGGATAAAACTGGAAATCGAACAGAAAGAAATATTATTCGTTTCGCAGTTAAACCAGCCATAGTGAAGATCATCCTGAGCGAGGATGAAATCTACGCCGGCAGACCGATCGCTGCACGTTGCGAGACGTGGGGAAGCTCTCCGGCCGCTAGGATCGTATGGAGGTTAGGCGGCCAGATGATCGGCGAACCGAATGTGTCCACCACGCAGAGAAGCAATTCAACGGTCAGCAAGCTGGCTCTGGCACTGAGCAAGCACGACGACGGCAAGGAATTAACCTGCAGAGCCGAAAATCCCCGATTTCCTGGCGGAGTCCTCGAGCAAACGAAAGTATTGAGCGTCGCCTGTGAGTCCTTTTCCCTCATCGTCTCTTCTCGCGAGAAACGCGACCGAAGGATATCTATCGTCTTCCATCGCTTTCTGCATTTAGACGCGCCTATCGTGGACGTCGACTTAGCTACCGGATATATCCTGGATACCTTACGGGAAGGGGACGATCTCAAGTTGGTTTGCAACGTCGAAAGTAATCCGCCCCCGATTAGGGTGATGTGGTACTTCAACGTAAGAAATTTTCCATACTTTTCTTTCGAAAGCTTCGATTACTCGAATTGTATCGTATCCTACTTACGGTAATCCATGAACGATATGAATTATTATCGAATGAATTATTACGAAACTTAACCACGAGGGTAGAACGTTTCCAACGCAGTGTCGATAGTTTTACGAAGAAAGTACGGTGTTTCAGGATACTCGACTGGAGCACGACGTGGCTGCGGGTACTCTGATATCCTCGAACACGTTGACTTTGAGGATACTGACCCTAGCTCATGCTGGAGTATACTCGTGTGCCGCGATCAATTCCGTAGGAGAGGGTCACAGTCCGCCCATGTTCATCCGTATGAAGTGTAAGAATCGCTTCCTATCGTAATTGTACATACTGTAAATGACGCGACTACGATAGAATCGTGTAGAAATAAAAGTTCTTCTCCCGACAGACGCACCGCGATGCAAGATTGGCTACGAGCGCCGCGATGTGACGGCTGGTCGACACGAAACGGTGTCGCTGCGCTGCGAGGTCGACGCGGTCCCAACAGACGCGGTGAGATTCTCTTGGACGTACAACGGAACACTGGGCAACGTGTTGCCGGTGCCAAACTCCAGAGCTCAGAATAACGGGTTGATTAGCGTTTTGGAGTATACTCCTTCCGCTGATACCGATTTTGGTACTCTAGCATGCTGGGCGAGCAACAGCGTCGGCAGACAAAGGACACCCTGTATATTTAACGTCGTACCAGGCAGTACGTGTAATATCCTTCGCTACTACGACAGATTTCGTTCGATGGAATCGTCGGAAAAATTTGAAATTTCATCGTTCTATGTATACTACGAATACGATTTGCAAATAGGGTCAAGTAAAACGCTGTTAACGCTGTAATGGGAAGTACAGTCTCCAGTACGAACATAGCGAATTCGTAAGACTCTTCGAAGACAAAGTATACGAAAGATCGTAGAGCAACGATTAATAATTTCACGCGAAACGGTATAGAAATTCGAGAGAAAGTTGTTAATAGGATGGCAAAAGGCTACAAAGGTTATTCGTTTATGAAGCGTAGAGTAGGTGGGTGGGTAGGTACGGTTAACAAAACGTAGAGTATATCGGTGAAAAATCAAAAGCACCACGTGTGTGTACCTTTTCACGCGAGAACGAAATCTCTTTCTCTGGCGTACGTTACGAAAATAGCCAATGTTTTCTGACGGAGTAAACGTTACGATTCCCAGAGCCACCGCAACCGCCGCTCGACTGTTCCCTGCACAACGAGACCAGTTCGCTGGAAGTGAATTGTGTCCCTGGCGCGGATGGCGGTTCCCCGCAGTACTTTTTGCTGGAAGTTCGAGGCGTCCCGAAAAGTCCTGGCCTCGTTCAGGTGAATTCACCGACCCTCCATGCACCTCAGAGCGATCAAGGAACGGTCGGGGAAGTGCCGGCTATATATCAAGAAAGGAATCCTCTGCCTAATTTCCAATTACACGGCCTTGAACCGGGATTCGATTACACTTTGTACGTGTACGCGGTGAACGGTCGCGGAAGAAGCGAACCCGTGTTGTTGGAACACGTCAGGATCGCGGAATCGATAGGTGGAAAATTCGAAAGGAACGGTCTATTCCTGGAGGATCTGAAGAAAGCGTTGCCTAACACCACCACGGAGAATATGGTCATCGTGATCGCGTTGACAGGTACAGGTAATCGATGCTAGCTCTGTTCTCCTTTTATCCAATCTCTCGGAGAAGAAGCGCGCTATCTGCGGAAAATTCGCTATTTTCGTAGTTTCGTTCGCGAACGCGGTATCGCGGAAGCGTTTCATTTGCAATTAACCTACGACGAAAGAGGAGGCGTTTTCGTCGTGCCTGCAGCAAGCGTGGTAAGAAAGGAGATTTTTTATTAAAGGTGCGGTGGCTTTGATCCTGGTTGGTATCGGAGTGATCATCGGGCTGGCTATCTGCAGGCGAAGGACCAGCTCCCCCATCAAAGACGGTCCGGACGATTTCACGACCCCTAGCTACGTTTCGGCTCAAAGGATCGAGCCAAGGATCAGATACTCTAGCGATAGTAGACGTTCTCAAAGGGCGAGTCTGTACATCGAGGAAAATCGAAACGGTAAAGCGCTGTTCTAGGCGACGATAACGTTCAGCGGTTACTTTTGCATACGTTTGGCTGATCAACATTCGGCGTCGAGCGCATCGAAGCAAAACCGTTAATGAAACGCTCGATGTAGTCGAACTTCGAGTTTGAAATTCGTGTAGCAATTTTTATAAAAATACTTTCACCTAACCGTATCGTTAAGTCGAACTTTGAATTTCGAAAAAACTAATTTAGAATGTATTCTAATTTTCAGAGCCAGATCTGCTTCAGAGAGTAGAAATCGATTTGCACGAGTAAGTTCCACGATTGTGCAGTTAGAAGCGATACTTTTGACATTCGTCGTTTTGTATTATACGTTGTGTAGATATTAAGTCGGGCGGAAGTGCCTATATTAACAGACTACTACTGGCGAGTAGTAGTCGGATAAATCGTAGAAAAGTAAGAAGCCGGTGCATTACGATGCGTTCGATCGTACACTGTTTCCAGAATTCCTGTACCTGTACTTTACGATCGTATCCAACCAAGTATCTTGTAACGTCGACGAAACGACGAGCCTTACAGCGTTATTTATTGCTCTCTTGCTGTAATATACGCGCTATTTTCTACTCGAGCGAGCAACAAACCAAGTATTATTACGATAGATCCTAGCTAAATTATTTTTAACCTTTCGATCGTCGAATCGCTAGAGATCGATAAACAAATAGTTTATCGATCGATAGCTGGTGATTGTAAGTTTGCGATATCGATATTTCGGCATCGAAAATCCATCGATATCGAGGTGTAACGATTTCTCGTAAATAAAATTGCGCCGTTATTTTTACAATTATATGTATATGTATATTACGATCTCCGTTCTCGATAAATTCAAACGCTTACCCATCGTTGTAAATAACATAGAAAATTACCTGGTTGTATTATTAGCGATTAGACATTCAAATAAAATGTTTACCGGGTAATTTTTCTTTCCGATGGCTTCAACGGTTCTTCGTCCATTTCGCGGTGAACTTTGAAGAAGGTCGTTGTCGATCGCAAACGAAGAGTCTAGTTTGATCGAAAATAAAGTAAACATAATTTGGTTTGGTGGAAGATTCTCTGCATTTTGTAACGAGAAGTCGACCAATTAATCAAACTTCGCGTACATCACGGTCACCCCAAAGGCTATCGCGAACAACTACCGAACAAATTGAATAGCCAACGAAAACGTCCAATTCGAATTATTTGGGCACCGAACGTTTGCGCCAATCGAGTTCCAAATAAACACGAGTCGGCGTGACGATAAGGCTGGGATCAGACGGATATTTCGAACGAAGTCGTGTCTTGTTTACGCGTACATTGACGAACACCCTAAGCATCTCTAGTGAAAATGGAGACGTAGTAAATGGGAGTCTAAGAAGGATCCAAGAAGAACCAAAGAGATGCATAACGACGATCCAAGGATTGTATTATCGCCAAGACGCTAACATCGCGTGCGAACAAACTTGCGCATTCGTTAAAAAATTGAAACTTGTCGTTATCGTTATTACGATATTTTGTGTCGCGTTTGCCCGATTACATGCCGATTAAATTCGAAAGAGAAAATCGTCGAAGATTATCCGGGAAAACGTATCGTTGAACGAGTTTGACGAATAACGAGAAACGAGAGTAAGTTCGGTCGCGTCCCGTTTGCTTCGTTATTTACGCGTAATCCCGCGTAAATATAGCGGGCAATAATTACGGCTGGAATTAGGCGCGTGTACGCCGCAGGGGAGAACAGAGAGACGAGGAGGGGTGACAAAATTTACAAATTATAACGCGTGCAAATACAAGCTCGATCCCAATTACCTGGCAACACGCAGTCTGGCAGACACATTGCAATTTATATTAAGCATTACGAGGTGCGATTACGCTAACATTCAAAAGTATTTGATCATACGCTGTTTCGAGTAAATACTTGTTTTCGTTAATTACTGGAATGCTATTGTAATTTTAATCGTGTATGTACTTTTATTTAAAATACGTTAGAATAACCAGAAAATATTGAAGAAAGTCTGTTATTTACTAGAATATTTTTGACAAAACTCGCAACTCGTTACAAAATACATCTTTTTGCGCGCAATAGTCGATTTTTCTAATAACAAATTAAATTCGCCCGATCTCGCTCGACCGTTAATTAAATATCACATTTGTGCTCGATGAATTTCGTTCGCGCTTATGATCAGATACTTTTGCTCGGTAAAACGTGTAAATGCGGCGAGTCTGTAGTTCGCTGAATGTGGCGTAAAAGTTAAAAATTGTTGATTGCTCGACAAATCGGAAGAGGATGTTTTGCATTCATAGCCGTCGGCGGAACGAACGTCGAGAACCGATTAGCCGAAACTTCATCAGTGTCGCGATAATCGTGTCGTCGATCGCGACAGATATTCTATTTTCGTTGAATTAGTTGCCGTTGCGCGACAACCAATTACAGCAAAAATTCAATTAGCATTAACGGCGTTTCCATTAATCGCTTTACAGATTCGCCTGTCTCGATACAGGCGCAACCCGTGAAATTTCCAATCGCTCGTATCCCGCCGTGTTTCGTGTACGATTCATCGGTCGTCGATAAAAAAATTCAACCGTATCTCAAGGAAGCTGATGAATCGGAGAATTTTGTTAAAAAATGCGATGCATCGTATTCGAAGTCCTCCGAAATTCTCTCTCCTCGTCGTTTAATGACGAAGTTGACTGGTCGCGTGGAAGAGACAAGACACGGAGAAGATGAGAATTCTTATAAATTTCTTAGTTAATAACTTAGTTTATTACCTCGTCGCGTTACGTGTCTCGATAAGGATGATAAGAACCGTGCCAGTTAAATCAGGAAAACCATGCAATTTTCCATCGATCGCTTTTCCATTGTTCACCATAAAATTCAGCTTTCATCGATACGGATGAAAGCGGTTCTCACAACAGAGACAGGAAAATCCCTTTGAATTTTCGTCATGAAGCGTTTTTAATTCAAGTCAGAATCTTCTACCGCCAGTAATTATTGCCTGCGTACTCGGATTAGAGCGCTATCCTGCAATTCTTCATTAAACGTTCATCACCGTGCCCTACCGCATAAAATTCATCGATTTGCCGTGGATATTATATTCAGGGCCTTTTGCCACAAAATAGCTTTTCTCGTTAAATCCTCGTTTTTATCTTCTGCTTTTTTTTTTAAAGCAGAACTACTCTAACACGGTATTGTAATTTACGGAATATACTATACAACTGAAAATAGGACTGGATACATGCTAGAAAGAATGATATTATTATTGCAAATTTTTTTTCGAACGCTACCTCTTCGTGCTCTCATTCTCTACTGCCGCAGCATTCCTATTAAAATAGGAAAGCATATGATTGCATCGAAAATACAAAATGGACAGGGATCCTCATCAACTTCCGTTACCAGACATCTTTGATTTCAAACGGAATCTTCTTCCGACAATAACAATGTTTATTACCATTTCTCGTTACGTCTGTTAATAATGACCTCTGCAATACGAATACCAATAAATTCGACGAGACAGATCGGCGCATTTAAATTGATACGCAACCATAAAATTCGCTATCGTGCATCATAAAATTCATCGTTTATCGACGAGAATAAAAGCGATTCTTCTAATAGAGAGTGAAAATCCAATTTTCATTATAACACGTCCTCGATTTTAAAGCAGAATTTACCAATATTATTACCGCGACCCGTTAGTCCTCGTAACTTTCTTACGACGAACGCAGTTTCATTTTCACTCGATATTATTTTTCTCCGTTATAATTTTTTGGTTCGCGTTTAAAATGTAGCATCCATTGGTCAGAATCGATTACGGGACACGCCGCATTCGGTAGTTAGTAAATGCGGTAACGATATGAAAAATCGATAGATTCCGCTAGCAGCGGAGAAGCATTTTTTGGTCGAAAAGACGAATAAAGGTCGAGAGGATGTTTGTTACGCGACAACAGCCGCATCCCGTGAGCAAAGAGGGGTCGAAAGCAAAGTGTACGCAAATGCGGCGTGCACTCGCCTCGGTAATGAAGATGCAAGCGGGCCGGCAACCGTTGAATGCAGTTGCGTGTTACAGAGGTGTGGAGCAGAGACCAGCGTGTCGGACAACGTAATTAGGTTATACTTTGCAGCGCTCCAAGTTATCGTTATCGTCATTGGAAACGACGCCGGTAGAACGGTACGAGATACTCGTGTTATTTTCACCCAAACTTTCCACCTTTGCTGAATCTGACAAGCGCTTTTCACGACCGTGATAGCTGTTCTATTATTTCATTTCTAAATCGATGCGAAAAAGATCCACGAGTAAACGATTAAGAAGAATATTAAGAAGATTAAAAGTGATCGTAAGAGCGTACGATCAGTTTTATAAAACCGTTCGTTTCTCTAATCTCGGATTAGATAAGTTACACCTCTATGACATTTATTACCTCATATATCTGTGGGATCGAAATTTCTCGACCAAATAAGAGAAATCGCCCAAGTACGGGACGTTACGCTCAACAGACTGCAGCAGTCCAGCGAAGTAACGTGTTCGACTATAAGTACAGTGTTCCTGACTTTTCGAACGGATCACTATTGGCTACAACGGAAATACGGTGTTCGTACTAAAATTGCACCCTATATTCGTAGTTGCCAGAAGCGTTAAAGTAACTGACTATGAGAGAGAGAGACTGCGTTAACTGGTCGATGTTTAAAAATTGATGAATTTCTCGGTGTCTCGTCGTAGCATCTGCTAGCGAGTCCTTTTTCCGCGCGCGACCCTCCTTCGATATCTCCAATTCCTATTCACGACAACTTCGTTAGGACCTCCAATTACGAATAATTTCGTTCGAACGACGAATCGCGTTTTCCTCGGGTACAGGGAGCATCGAACAGTTAAAGGATAAAAGGATACTTAACGAAGACGTAGCGAGCTTGCTCGATCGCTACGAGGCACGAATGAACAATTTTACGAAAAATTTGTTCGTGAAATCACATTTAGCGACGCGACGAGAGAAAGCCGAGAATGAAATTCGTCGATAAGACAATAGTTCGCCGGTCGCGTTTCCAATTTCTCCAACTTGGATTCCTTCGAAATTGTCCTCAAAGTTGAACGAATTTAATTAAAGACAGAAGAGAGATTCGCGATTGCGTAAATACCGTGTATTCGACGTTTTGCCCGTTCAAATCCTTAATTACATTTTTCCTCGAGTATTCGATAAAAGGTGAACGCGTAAGTCTGTAAAATCTGTTGGACGGATCGATGGCTGTTAATTATTCGAACAGACGCAGCGTTGCTTGTCCGCAATATTTCATCGGAGTAGCGTATTTCATCAATTGCCGTGTTTCATCAGTCTGGATAATTTACGAGGGAGGTTCGCTCGGTTGAAATAAAATAATATAACTCATTCGCGTTGCGTTTCGGCTGTCCGAAATGATTGACAACCAATTACGGGGTTACCATTCTTCTCGAATAGAGAGTTATCTTTTCAAATCACGCGAACATTCGTTGTATATCTATGTAGGACGTAAAAATTGTAGGATGTTAAGCCTCGAATAAGTAAAATAGAATTCCATTTGGATGCGTTCGACGCGGGCCGATGCGAATCGATGAGGGCGACGCGGAGTCGATACCGTATTTGATACATTGTCGCGACGGTGCAGCAAGTTTCCGAAGTAGCATTAATTCCATTAAAACTTCGATGTGACCGTTCGAAATTATCGAACAGAGTTAACAACTTTTTACAGTGCGCTTTCTATCGTCGCGTGGATACGCGCTTTTTAACGAGAGAACGGATTTTCCTGCACGATCAAACGGACACCGGCACGAGCCGATCAAAGAATATTACCTGAAAACAAACAATCGAGCGTGACCTCTCATATTATTTATCGAAAACGGCATACACATAATCGTAGAAAGCTTGATCTCGCGTAATGGACGTCCTCGTTAATTCATTTGTACACCGACCAATGGAAAATTTCATACGAAATAACGCACCGTTATAATTAACGATAATGGTTAATTATATAATCTAATTATACGGATAGATAATTAAGAACGCTTCGTATTCGATCGAATTGGAATCCATTAAAATAATGGGACAACAATTAGACGAAAAACAAAGTTTCTCGTTCGTCGCCACGTTGCGTTCTTCGCGATGCGTCGAAGGTAGAAACGGTCGATACTTCTCAATTTCTGCAGCGCCAACCAAGAAAATATCTAAGTATCGCAAGGATGGTAGCGAAATGTCTGGCAGGGATCGCTGATAGATTTAACGCCGTGTAATCCACCTGTTGGCCAAATAAATCCATCTAGAAGATTCGATTCCATCTTGACCGTTTCCAACTTCTTGAATCTCGTTCGCCAAAAGAAACTCTCCGAAACGGTAAATCTCCGACTCGCGACAGCTCGATCCTCCTTTTTATCGGGGATAAAAATTACTTTATCGCCATGGCGTTACGATGCTCCTCGATATCTTCGACAGAGACGTAAACGCGTTCGAGGCTAATTTTATGCCCAATACATATCGATAAGTAGAGGATACTCTGAAATACCGCCGTGCCGTGACGGTGACACTGATAACGTCGTTCTAGCGCGATAAGTCCAATGATCCCTAGACCAATACAAAGTGTTACTTTACATCAGCGCGTGCTCTTTACGGCGA